CCCTTCTCCGGCAGTGGGATCAACCCAACCACCAGGGGGCAGCAGTCAGGCCTTGAGCTGTCTGGAGCCCAGACACCCAGGGCAAGGAACCAGGGCATGCTGGGAGAAGGGGTGGTCCTTGACTTTCCAACTGCTACATCCTAGAGCTTCCTCTGGGCCGACAGGGGCCAGGTGTGTGTCTGCCCAGACTCTTTAGCTCCCTCCCTATGCAACCTGAGGGGCAGCCCTGGATCTTGAGGGCTGATCCTCACTGATAAACAAGGTTGCCTCCCAACAACACTGTTCCCACAGGACCAGCCATCTTCCAGGGCAAAGGAAGATGGCTAGTGCTCCCCTGCCCATCTTGCTCAGCCTGTCTGTGGAACCTCTGCTGTTGGAGGGCCACAGGCTACTGGGAGGAGTCCTTGGAGAGACATCGTCCCCCTCCCACCTACCCCCTTGGCCCAGAGCCAGCCCATACTTCCATCACGGATGTTCATGCAGCGGCACCCTCAACATACCAGCTATGGGCTGGCAGCAATAGACATGCCCCAGCCCTGAGAACCCCAATCATCACAATGTCAGTCCACCTCCTTGGGGAACTCCTTTAAAAACATGTTTTTCTTATAAACCCTTATAGGAAGTCATTCTAACAACAAAATGCCATGGAGTTTTTATAAGCCCTTGTAACAACAAAACACCACACCAACTAAAACATCCACCCACGGAAGCATCATGAGGGCTGTTGGCGGCCTCCCCAATGTTCACCCCTCCACAGGGGTCTGTTGCCCTGACGCGTGGTTTGAATGGGAAGGACGAGCGCAGGGGCTTCTGGGAGGGAGGGCTTCTCTCAGTGGCTTCACTACCATCGCATTCCCGTCACAGTGAGGACCCAGGTTGTCTGTGATGGGTCCGCCCTCCCTCTGCCTCAGCCAATGGGGGCACTGTGGAAGGCAGAGCAAAGAGAATAAAAGAAACCAGATCCTGTTGGCGTTGCCGAGCCACTTGGATCAAACCAACCCCGAAACTCACCCCACCTCTGGACTTTCCAGTTTCAGGAGCCAAAACCTCCCCTCATTGTATAAACCGGTTTGAACTGGGTTTTCTCTTACCTGCGACTGTAAACATACTCCCTTGGGCAGAGCAAGGTTCCTTCACTGGCTGGCGGGCCCTGCTTGGGGCGGTGTGACAGTGAAGGTGCACTGCGGACTGGCAGGCACTCATGGAGAAAGATTTCAGGGAAATAGCAAGCAAAATTAATTGTTGACTACCACGTAAAATAGGATTCTCATTTGTATGAGAAAGATTTGGGAATATGGATCCACACTTTCTAGAAGGGTACCTGGGAGGGAGCAGTTGCCTCTGGGGAATGGGAAGCGTACTTCTTCCCATTACACGAGCCCACACTTAGACTGCTTATACATATAAAATAACTAGTTTTAAAGTTGTTTGGGGTGATAGAATTACAGTCTGAGGTGCTCATTTATTTTGGTGGTTATTAAACCCTGCTTCCAAAGCCCCCACTGAAGTAGGAGAGCAGAGCACGGGAAAAAGGCGGAGGGAAGAACAAATGCTCTCGGCCTTCCCGAGGAATGGTTCATTCCCTCCTCCAAAGCCAGGTTCTCTGAAATCGGTCACTTGGCAGGAACAGTGCCCACTTGAATGTAGCCTTGACTTTTTCTTCCTCTCAGAGACATTCCCTGGTCCTTATTCCACAGCGCCCATGGCAGGTTTTCCAGAGGCATCCTGGAGACCCCAACAGCATTCTGAGAATGAACATACCTCTCTTCACTGCCATCTGGAGGAGGAAAAGACTGGTCTTGCTGATTCCGCAGAGCTAAAATGGCACTAAAGGTATAGGGTCCCCTGGATGTTCAGAGGGTCCCGTCGGCCCTGGAAGATCAGGCAACAACCTCTTGAGTAACAGACACGAGCTTGTGGAAGCACCTTTACCAAGATCCATCACTGGTGCCAAGTTACCAGTTTAGGGGCAGACAACCTAAAAACCCTGTGGCCCCATGGACAGACACCATGCATGACCCTAGAGCTGGAAACACCCCCCTGCGAAAGTCATACAGTCATTCCACTCACCTCGTACACCTAAAGGCACTGGCCCTCTGGGTGGCAGGGCTGAGAACTTGACACCTGGGCAGGACCTTCCTAGGATGCTGGGTCCTTCCTTGGGTGCTGGGACCACTGCAACAGCCCCTCACCTTTCTCTGTGCCTCTGCAGTCCATGCTTTGAGGCTGCAGACCAAGAGCGGTCAGATGGCCCCTGCTACCAAGAGTGAGGCCTTCCCTTCTCTGCTGGCCTCCTCTTCAGGGGAGCTCTCCCTCGAGGTCCCTAAGATTGCAGAGGCCCATACTCATATGCATGCCCATTACCACCCCAGAGGCAGACCCATCCGGTGCAGAAAGGCCTCGGCGGGCTTGTTGCACAGAGAGCAGCTCTGGCCTTGCAGGGAAGTGAGCCTGCGGCCCGAAACCAGGGTCTCAGGGGCAAGGCTGAGCACCATGATGATCCAAGCGCCGAGAATAAGGCTGAGCACCATATTGTCCCAAATCCAGGCACACAGGCAGGAGTGAGCATTCCCCTCCCTCCTCCAAACGCCTGTCGACCTGCCACAGAGCCTGTGAGCTGGGCAATCTTTGGGAAACTGCTTCTCCCCCGGCATGCCCTTGGTGTGGTTTTGCTCAGCAGAAGCCAGGCCTACTCGAACAGGTACAGGTTCTGGGGCAGGTTTCTAGAGTTTGAATCTAGATCTTCCAAATCCTCAACAGGAGCTCCCCTTTCTTCGAGCTGCACATTTTGGGCACGAAACTGGCTTCCTCCGAGCTGTTCTGGTAACTGAATTTAACTGTTAAGTGCCTGGAGCACACCCTATGTTCCGGAAGGCTCTGTAGCCGAGTCATTTTTATTGTTATTTACATGGGGAAAGTACAGGCTTCCTGGGCACTAGGAGACTGTTTTCCTGCCCTAGGAGACGGTTTTCCTGCCCAGCTCACAGCCTCGCCCTCCAGGCAGGGTGCACCCCTGGAGACAGGTGAGCCCGGCAGTGGCAGGAGTTGCTGGAGGGCGTGACAAGGATGGGTGGCACGGACCAGAGGGTGGTCCAGAGTGCTGGGGGCTGCAGAGGCTAACAGGGCTTGGTGAGGGGGTGAGCAGCTTTCAGTCAGGGAGGAGTGCTGGGCTGTGGAGGGCAGGGTACAGAGACCCAGACAAGGAGCCGCCCCCCCCCCCCCCAGGGAAGGGAAGGAAGGCAGGCGAGGGGGTAGAGGCAAGCTTTCGGACATGGGGAAACGTGTAATGTGTGAGACAGAAAGGACGTGGGAAAACAATGATGCAGCCGAGTCCTACAAGGAGCAGGGCAGGAGGGGCACGGGAAGGATAAAGGAAGAGCCAGAAACGTTGCAGTGAGAGTATGTGGGGGTGAGGGAGGGACGTGCACAGGTCATGGTGGCCTCCTCCCGCTCGGGGAGGGCAGAGTGCAGGGGCTGCGAGGGACTGGGACGCCTGCAGTGTGGCTCCGAAAGGAGGCGGGTTCGCTGGAGAGAGCCACGCATGCACCTCTTCCCCCAGGCTTCCTCTCTCTTTTCTCATCCAACCACTCAGAGTCAGAGGGGATGGCTCAAATGGCCAGACCTTTGTAAACTAATTGAAAAACACACTGAACTTTGAAAAAGTCCTAGCTAGTCTTCACCTGGAGCTGGGCTGGGAGCTGTCAAGAGACTCACAAGGGGTCCAGCCATGAGGGCGACCCGGATAGATGGGCCAGAAGGAGCCACCCAGGAGGCGAAGCTGTTGGGTGCCCACGCACCAGCAGCGTGGGTCCAGAGCCACCATCTCTCCGGGGCAGGATGGTTCAGAGTCACACGGCAAGGTGGACAATGCTATTAACCCTTCAGATGGCCTGCGGGTCCAGACAAACTCATGCAGCAGCAGGGCCCGGCTCCCCACCCAGTGTCCCCAAACTCTCCCACCTGGATCACACCACCCGAGGCTGGACAGAGGGCGCCTAATGCTTTTCCTGCCCAGCTGCAGAGTCAGAGTTCTGCCTCGTGCTCCCAGCCAGGCGTAAGCAAGCCACAAGCCCGCTTGTTCCGGGTGTAACCTCCACACCAAGGACAACGGAAAGTGGCGCGCGGAGTCTAAAACAAATCACCTGACGGAAGTTGTTTCAAACTGTGCCGTCCGTGGATTCCTCTACCCTCCACTGTCCTGTCCTGTCTAGTCACTCCCAGTGTCCCCAGTTCCCTTAGCAGCCGAGTTTACCACCGTGACATTTCATGCCATCTTGATGTCACTCAAAAGAAAAACGACCAAGACAACAGCATTAATATAAAGATATATTCCATAAAAGAGTTTGGCAGTCAAAGAAAAGCATCACACTTCCTGAAAACACAAGCATTCTTCTTCCTCTAGTCTACAGAGAAAATTATAAAGAAATAGAACAAAAAAACAAAAAAACAAACAAACAAACCCAGAAACAAATATCGTAACATCATCCACAAACACCCACCAGTATACACCACACTAGCATGTACACTTCGGCAAGTCAGTGAAGGTAGCACTCAAGTCCCTGAACGAGGAGGACAGAACTGGTACGGGGTCCAGAGAAGCGTTAGAGAGGAGCCCAGCCAAAGATGCACAGACACGCCAGCCACCCCCGGTGGGGGGACCTTCGGTACATAAGACAGACTTCATTTCCAAGAGCAAGCCCCAAGACAGCCCTACCAGGGAGGGGGGATGTGATCACCACAGATCCCTGACTGGAGACAGTGGAGGGGGGAGTCACCACAAAAGTTAGCCAAAGAAGAACCATCCTGACCTTCTACCCAGCTGCAGGCTGGGGTCTCGGGCTTGACACAGGGGCCCAGCCACAGTTACGCTCTCCAGGGAGAGGCAAACACCAGGCCGGCCAGCGGCCCTTAGCATGTAGCCTCAATAGAAGCCCTGGTCACAGGTTCCAGGCTGGACGTTTCTGGCTGGGGCTCCCTGGCCTTACGGGGGGGGGGGGGGGGTGCAGGGGGAATGGCAGGTGGGGTCAGGATTCAAGTTCCAGGTGATGGATTCAGTAGCACCAAGACCAGAAGATGGTGAGGCCTAGCTGGGGAAGGGAGTGGGTGCATGTGAGCTAGGGTGCACAGAGGAAGGGAGAGCACGTGTGTGCACCTGGGCTGTGAGGGATGAAAAGAAGTTGAGGGGGTTGGTTCTTGAGACACATGAGGGAACTGAGAGGGATGGCTTCAGTCCCAGACATCGTGTAAGGCTGCTTGGAGGGAATGCCAGAGGAAATGAAGAAATGGTGTGAGAACATTCTTATCCCTATAAATAAACTATTTACACACTTTCAGAAAGGGAGAGCCGACTCTCAGAGGAGCACCCTGCCCGTGGCCCGCTCCCCCCCGTGTCATCAGGACCTGATACTGTGGAAACTGGAGGCAGGTCTTGTCCTGGTAGGGGCGGTCAAGGAGGCACTCCATGGTGCCTGTCCACACATGGCTCAGGCTTCCTTGGACGTGGCAGAGGAACCCGCAAACACCCCCCAGCTTGTGCAGACACACAGGCTCCGCTGGTACGATCCCCCTTGTTCCCCGTCCCCTCCCCAGTTCCAGGCGACACCTTTCTGCGGCTGGGAGAAGCCTCGTCCGTGTCTGCTGGGCCCCCACCCAGGTCCCACTCATAGCAGATATGGCCACCCTCCAGGCCGGCACTGACAACACGAGTGGGGAGGCCAGGGTGCCCTGCAGACACACTTAGTCTCCAGGAAAACTGAGTCAGGCCCTTTTCACAGCCATGGGAACCTTCTGTCCCTCAGAGTCCCTACCCTGCTTAAAGACATGGTCTCCGTCTCTGGGTAAATTCCGAGCGGGCGGGTCTCTGTCACAAGTCCGTGCAGGTCAGAGGAGCTCCTTGGTCTTCAGCACCAGCAAACAGAAACAGGGAGGTCGCGTCACGCTGATGCCGAAGACGGGGTGCTGACTCTGGCTGGGTGTGTCCACTTCTCTCCCTCTGGATGTCGGGTTGACAGCAGCAAAGGGCTCCGGCCTCCACGGCGTGGCTCAGCTCTGCTTGCTCACCTCTGCTCCTCAGAAGTGATGGCCTGCCTTCACCGCCTCAATGTCCGAGATCAAGGTCTTCGCCAGGAAGATGCCAAAAATCTGAAACCAAAGCCAGGGGAGGCTCTCAGTGCTGGGGCCCGACAGGAGACGGCAGGCACAGAGGGCAGGGTGCGCAGGGCCCACTCTGCAGACCCTGAGGATGCAGCACAGCGGACGCACCCGCCAGTAAACAGGGAGTCCTGGGGTCTGTTTTGCTCTATCCCTGGGGCCTAGAAGTGTGGGGCAAACGGCCAGCAGCAGAGAAGGCCTGCCTCCAACAGGGCCACGCACGTCACATATCATGCGCTGGGACACACTTTGTACCCACAGTTAGCCCAAAAATAACAGTCACCTGACTGGTTTTGACGTAAAATAATAAGTCTTGATGTTTCCTGTAAACCAGGATTCCATGATAAAAACAAGGTTCTCCCTGGTTTCAGCTGTGCTGCCGTCCCACTTTGGTGACCAGCATCATCACTGTTTTTTTTACCAGGAACAGACCAATGTGCACTCGGAAATCTTGGAATTTTGCTAATTTCCCCTTTAAATTCCTGTTGTGGTTTATATCTTATGAGCCAGTTCTTCTGAAGTCTAAAGGCTTTGCCCATTTGGCAAGTAAATTTGTTCTTTCCTTTTCTAGATGCTTCTGTGTCTAAGCTTCCCTTGCGATCACTCAACACACACTGGCGGGGTGAAGGAGGAAGGGGAGTGTGGACGGTCTGCAGCCCCCGGGCCGCATCAGGCACCCTCTTGACAGCAGCGTCAGAGCCGAACAATGCACCTTCCGCACGGCGGTGATGGCCGTCCGAGAGGCTGCTTGGGGGCTGCCAGTTTCTCCTCCCAAGCCCTGGGCACCCCGGAGAACCGGTCTCTCTGACTGGCAGAGTTCTTGCCTCCCCTGCCCCTCCCCGTTCTCTGGGCAGCTGCCAGCTCGGCCCCCAGTCTCCCCATGTGTGAAATCTGGTTCAGATGAACAGGTGCGACCCGCAAGGACAAAGGAAGCCACAAAGGGCAGGGGGAGCAAACCTGCAGCAGGGAGATGGCGATGAAGACGCCGGCCACGATGTAAATATTGCGTGGAAGCCAGCCCTCCAGCGCCTGGATGCAGCCTTTTGTGAAGATGGACTCGTCCCACTTGCTCTTCAGCTGAAGGGAAACAGCACAGTGACCTGAGCCCAAGACATGCGGGGCGTCCCCACCCCGATTCCCCAGAAGGCTCCCCTGGCAGGCAGGGTGGAGCTCAGCGGGGGCCGGGGGGCCAGAAGGCAGGTGCCCAGGATGGACAGAACCCTCCAGGGGAACTGCCTGCACCTGCTGCAGTCTCTGCCTTCTCCCTGGGCAGTCTGCATCTTCTGCTCTGCCCAGAGGAAGGCTCCTGGCCGTGGTCTTTACCCACTCCTGGTGAGGCCTCCAAGGAGGAAGATGGGGCTTTAAAGAGAAAAACTAGAAGGGCCTTCAGCATCTTCTGAGTCAGAGAAGTTGGCTGCGGAAAAAGGGGACAGTGGCTTCCCAGAGTGTGTCCCCCAGCCAGGGAAGCTTGGCTCCAGGAGCCAGAGTCACAGTCCTAAGCCAACAGGCACCTTCCAACCCTGACCCCTAGTGGAGGCTCAGGACGCACACCGGAGAACCCCCAGCACACACAGTCCATCCTCACCCCCACCCACCGCATACAGCCTCGCTCATGGCAATACTGGTGGAACAGTAATCCATTTTAGTGGGGTGAGGGACTGCACTGTGTCTCCCTAAAACTCAGAATGTGACTGCACTTGGAGATAAGGTGTTTGAAGTGGGACTATAACCCATAACCCTAACCTGAATCATCCGGAGAGGTCTCTGAACAGCAGGACACCAGCCACATACCCTAGCCCCTAAGCCCTACCCCTAACGCTAACCCTAATTCTAAAGTTATCCCCCCAGACAGGTCTCTGAACTTCAGGATAATAGGCACATATCCTCACACTGTCCCCAGCCCTAACCCCCATTATGCTGGCCCTAAACCGAACCCAAACTCTAAATGTGAGGGAAAAAAAAGATGTGCTACATATCTACAACAGATTAGTACTGAGCCATAGAAAAGAGTAAGATCTTGCCATCTGCAACAGCAAAGTCAGTCAGTCAGAGAAAGAGAAATACTATATGGAGAAAAAGGTAAACAAATTAAAATGAGGTCACCAGATAGGCCCCAATCCAATATGACTGGTGTCCTTATAAAAAGTGATCAGGACAGCAAAAGACAGAGGGAGGACCATGTGGGGACACACACAGGAGAAAGCAGCCACCTACAAGCCCAGGGGAGGCCTCACACCAGCCCTGCCAGCACCCTGATGTCGGACTTCTAACCTCGAGTTCTGAGGAGAGAAGTTTCCGTGTTTCAGCCACAGTCTGTGGTACTTGGTTATGACAGCCCTAGAATCTAACATAAGCAGCAACGAAAGGACGATGCTGGTACAGGCCTGTCCCTGGGTAACGGGCGGAGGTCCCTGAAGAAGGGCTTTAGGCCTCCCAAACCGGAGGCACACATCCCTGGCATCCATGGCCAATAGGAAAGGTGCCCGTACATTCCCCAAGTTCCCTCCTTCAGAATAGCAGTCACTCGTACCACCAAAGGCCACCGAGCAGTGCCTGGGGGGAGGGGGACCCTCACTTCTCTCCTCCCTCACACCCTCTGTGGCCTGAAGAAACCCCAGGAGAACTGAGCCTTCCTCCCGCCCCAAGACCCGTCTCCCTCCTCACTGTCACCGTGCCTCCATATGGCGGCTAAACCAAGCCCTGTGCACCTGCAGCGTCACCCTGAGCTCCTACCGAACAGAAACCCACGGAACTCCAAGGAGCCATTAAAAATAAAGCCCTTGTTCCCAAAACTTTCATCTGACCTCTTTCCACTAATGCAGCAACTGCTAGACTTTGTGACTGCAGTTCCCAGGCTGGGAATCACCCCCATCGCTGTTCCCTGGAGTCCTGCTGCCAGCGGCTCCTACCCAGCTCACTCCCAGCTTAGACGGCCCCTCCCCGAGTCTCACCCACTCCAATTTGCACTTGTGCTAAATCAGGAAGTTGGACCACAGGGAATAAACCTGATAAACTCAAAGCTGCATGCCTCGGGCACTCACCTGGGTCCTGACGTCATATCCACACTGTGTGTTCACAACTTTTTGCTGTAAGAAAAGCAGAAAAAAAAATGGTCATTTTTGTTCTCTTGGGAAGCCAGTGGTAGAAGGTTCTAGAAAAGTCCCAACCAAACATCAGCAAACACCTGTACAAATTTCATTAGAGCTCACATCCTTTAATCGCAATGCCGACTAACCTTTCACACTAGGACAAAGGTTGACCAACCATGTGTGTGAAGGAGACCCATCTATGTAGCAACTATTCAACTCTGCTCTCGGAGCATGAAAGACACGGACAATACATAAATGAATGTGCATGGCCGCATTTCAGTAAAACTTCATTTATGGACATTGAAATTTAAATTTCAAATGATTTTCACCCATCACAAAATATTATTCTTCCTTTCACTTATGGTCAGCCATTTACAAATGGCTGAAACTACTCTCGGCTCGCAGATCATACAAAAACAGAGAGGAGGCTGGATCTGGCCCATGGGTCACAGTTTGGCAGTGCCCGAGCGGGGAGATGAAAGTTCCACTCGCTCAGTATTTCATGGTCACGGTGGGGATATCAGGCGCTGGCTGTGCGGCCGCAGCAAACCAGAGCTTCCTGGTCTGGGAAGTGGGTCGTGTGACAGCGGCTCTGCCCTGCCTGCTCTGAGCCCTGGGGCCGCGTACTGGACACCTGTGAGCACACCAAGAGCTGTAAAAGGCTCAGTTCTAGCAAATGTTCAGTGCTCCTTCACACATCACCCCAAGGGCCCTGGTTCTGGAACCCACGGACCCGGGCTATGGGCTGGGAATAAGAACAGGTGAAGAAGAAAAGCGAGATGCCTCCACCACCCCCAGATGGTGAGTAACCCCCCCACCCCCCAGTTCTGTGCACGGGGCATTCTCTCCAGAGGATGGTGAAGAGGGTGGCCCAGGGCTCACCACATTTCTAGCATTTCGTCCAGGCACCCTAAGTGAGAGCCCCTCAAGGGAAGGACGTGACTGGTTTTCTCCTGCCTCACCCAGAACACTAGAGCAAGGGCAGGTCATGCAAAAATGTGCCTGGGATTTACACACAGAGGACTTGGGAGCTGCAGACCCTGGCGTGGTGTGCAGAGGGAGCACAGAAGCAGCCCGGAGCCCAGAACAGCTACATGCCCCCCGGGCAGGCCGACTCACCGCGGGGTCCGGCACGCAGCAGGAGAAGGGCACCCCACACTTCTCGCGGCTATAGCTGGCACCACTGCAGTTGAAGTAGATGTTGAGGTCCCAGTCTTCTGGCCCATATGCCCCGCAGCACTGGTTCTGGGGTCACAAAAGCCGAGAAATGTCAGGGGCTCTGGCTCTGAGCCAGGGCTGTGACCACCCCCCCACAGGGGATTGGGGACATGAGGGGAAGCGCTGCTCCATGTACACACAGAGAAATCCAGCACAGCCCCCCGCCCCACTGACCTCCCACATGCACAGATGCTAAGCATGGTAACCTAGGCAGCCTTTAAGAAGGAAACCAGGAAACCTCATCTAAGATTCCCCCACACACACACCGGGGTGCAGCATGCAGGACTGCCTCTGCAGTGTCCCCTGGCCTCCCCGGGGACACACCATTCAGGTCCAGACCCTCCTCCCCCTGGGGCTTCTCCTTCTTCCCCTTGCCTCAGCCCAAAGTGGATTCCTCACTCTCCGTGGAGACCCTCAGGATCTCCGATGCAGTTCTCTCGTATCCTCCGAGAGAACCCCTCCTTGTGGGCAGTGAGTGGGGCTTCCTCCCAGAGAAACGTCCAAGCTGGCCTTACTTCCCTTACGTGCCTCTTTACAAAAAACAGCTGCTAGACGTCTACTCCCAAGGCCAGAATCATGAGCAGGGTGAACAGTTAACACAATCACAGCTCAGCCCCCCTAACCTGGGGTCTCTGCACCCCCCACTGTCCGATGTAGTTGCAAACAGAATCGCCGCTCGTCTACAAACTTGTAAAACCAAACACTGAAAATGGCACAGGGATGTCAAGGGTCTCCTAGACCAGGAGCAGACTCCGTTGTCTCTGTTGTCACACTTGTCCTGGCTGCTGACATGGCACTGGCCATGATCACAACAAATAAACGACCAGGGTTCCTGGCTGTCTTTTATTTCTAAGATTAAAATCCCATGCCCCCGACCCCTTACCCTGCTGTGGTTCCAGCTTCTCTCATGACTCCCAAATATTTCAGCATGAGGAATCTCCACAATTTACTGAATGCCTCTGGAGAGTGTATTTTCAAGAGGAAAGGACGGCACTGGAGAAGAGTGCCCTGTCCTCGAGGCTAGCGGGGGGGGCAGGAACACCCGGGCACGCCACGGCTCTGGGACAGCGGGGAACGGCGGAAAGGCTCAGTGAGGGCAGGAGGAAATGGCTGAGGTGGGATTTTCGAAGACAAATGCTGGTCACTATTATGACACAGGAAGTGTCTCTGGTCACATAAAGTGGGTTTTGCTGGGTCCCAGGCGATACAACGTAAGGGTAAACAAGTTTTAGTCAACATGAGAGTGGACCAGAGTTATTTTTAATGCGTGCTTGCTTGTTTTCTCCTCAGAATCCAAGTGTTCCACGTGAAGTCCCTGGGGAAGCGAGGTTTTCCGGCAGCTCACAGACGGACCACACGACGGCCTTGCCCCAGCCGGTGGCGGGGAACGGGCCCCCCCAGGGCAGGGACGGCAGTGGTCCAAGCCTCCAGGTGCAGCTGCACACAGGGGAGGCAGAGGCCAGATGGAGTCAAGGCCAAGGCCTGGGATGGCTTAGACAGCCCCCTGGGGACATATTCCAAGGAGGTCACATTCCTCCCCATCTGGGGAAGCTTCCTCCAGGCAGCTCTGCCTTCTTGAACAGGAAGGGGAAAAGGTCCCAGGGAGGAAGGGGACAGGAATAGCCTCAGACGGTGAGTCATGCACCGGGGAGGGGACGCTCTGCCCCGGGGTACCCAGAGTGCCTGGGGACCTGAGGCCGCCTGTGTGGCCAGGACCTGAGAAATCTGGGCCCCTGGAGGAGGGTGCCTGCGGGGGCAGCAAGACGGCCTGCCCCACGCAAATGGGAGAGGACACACTGCGAACACGCCTACATGGCCAGGCAACAGTAAACGGACAGAGTCAAACTGACCAGAGGCCAGAGCACCCCCAACGAGTCTCCCCGCCACCTGCCATGCGGAGGAGGGACACCCCGGGTTCCCCATTAGCCGAGGCCTGGGCAGCGTGCATGGCCAGGGAAGCCCACACTCTAGCCAGGAGGCCAGCACGGATGTGGTCCTTACCGCTTTCTGAAGGGAGTCAATGAGGTTCTGCAGGTCAATGTCGTCCCGGTAGGATCTGATGTTGCTCTCGAAGAACTCCCGGAACCGGTCCCTCACCCAGTCCTGGAAGAGGAAGGCCAGCACGGCCACGGCCAGCTCCAGGAAGAAGATGAGCACGATGGTACCACAGAACTGCGTGGTGGCAAGAACAGAGGTGAGAGTCATCACACCTCCGGTCTCCAGCCAGGCACAAAGCCTCGTCTGACCAGGGATCGATGCCTGCTGCAAAGAGGGTGAGCTCCACCCCTGCGACATGAGGGCCAGAGCCCCTGGGAATCCCATGTGACTGGCTGGCAGCCCCGCCCCCTCTGTAAATGGAGAGGTGCACCCCCACCCCCATCACAGCACCACTGGGAAGAGACAAGTGAAAGAACCAGAAAGCTCCAAGCCACTATGTCCCCTACTTCCTGTGAGGCAGCCTCCCTCCCCAACAAGGAAGCCCCATCCCAGGAAGGAAGGGCTAACCTACCCCACCAGGCCACCAGCAACTCTAGGGCAGAGCCTGTGCCCCAGACACAACACCTAACCACTCTCCTCGCACACACAACTGTCCAAGTTGCTAGAAATCTACTGTCGCCCCCGCTTTAGGGACAAGGAAACAGGCTCACTCTGGCACATGGCTTGCTTGAGGTCACGCAGCTCATGCAGGACATCTGAGTGCCTCTGTACGTGGCAAGACCTCTCCAGAAGCACAGCACCGTTGGCCACCACAGCGGTGGCCCTCCGCAAGGGCCCCCCACAGCTGCACCCCTCCCATCCAGCAGACTTCCAGCCAGCAGTGCGTGAGTTCCCCTGCCCATTACCACCAGTGGTCACCCTGGGCTCTAAGCTGGGAGGCCACGGCAGGCGAAGGTCTCAGGGTAAGACAACGGGAAACACCCGCGCGCGTGCGCACACACAGACACACACATACACACCAGGCCCTTCAAAACCTAACCTCCATTCACACAGAAGGAAGATACTAAATATATTTTTTAAAAGGAAAAAAAATGAGAAGAAGAAGAAAAAAAGAACCAAAAACATGTTTTGCTTTTTAAATTAAGCCCAGGGAAGAGAAGGCTTGATCTAATAAATTCAACAAATAATATATTGCAAAACACGTTTATGGGTTTTCCCTACCAGGTGCTATTTAATTTTAACTGAACGCATTTCAGCATGAATTTTTATCTAAATATAAAACCAAACCCTAAGTAACTGGCAGTTCTGCCAGGAAATTAAGGATTCTGTGTTGCAGATCCCAACACACACCCCCCTGGAGGAGGAAAACGGTTTCCTAACTTTACTGGCAACTTCTTTTGATCTTAGCCAAGAAAGGCAAAGGCGAGTAGCAAACAAATAATTCCCTCAGAACTTCGGAGGGAAGAGGCAAGGGAAGGGACAGGAGCCTTCTCTTCCCTCCAGAACCGGAACACCAGAGTGGCCCAACTTCTCCAGGGGTGAGCAGCCGGCTTAGCTGACTGTTTCCTGAAATCTTCCCAGTCGGCGGGCAGCCTCCTCCCCGCACGGCTGGGGCCAGGGGGCCCTGTAAGAGCTACGACCCTCTTCGGCCAGATAAGGGGTGAGCCTGCCCAGCAGAGTCCACACTCCCACCCGCCCCCGCATCCGCGGCTACTCACAAACTTGAGCAGACAGATGTTCTCCCGCAGGGCGCCCACGCAGCCCGCGAACCCCAGCGTGAACATCACCACGCCCACCATCAGGACCAGCACCACGGGGTCGATTCCATGCAGCCGGGTCACTTTGGTGAGGTCAGACAGCACCCCCTGAAAGAGGCAGAGAAAGCATCAGCTTCAGGGAGTTCAGGGAGTCAAGGGTGTCAAGGGTGCCTTGGGGGGCAAGGGGGACCTAGGTTATGTCCAGAGATAAAATAAGGACAGGGACCTGTCTCCTGAGACTCAGTCCTGTCCTTAACATCCAGGCCAGAGCACAGAGCGTGGCCCCTGCCCACTTGCCCTCTAAGGGCCCCCTCTGCCCACAAATCCTTGCTAGCCTCAGCTCCCAGGGCCCTTGCACGCAGCAATCCTGGGCGGCACCTTGGCTCTGAGTCCCTCCCAGGCCGACCCCATGCTTTTTTTGGAGACTGCAGGGTGCCTGTGCCAGGCCTAGAGTGCAGGGGGGCCCTGGGGAACCCTGTGTTCTCTGGTCCAGGCACCTTAGGGCCAGAGGCTCACCCTGGCCTCGGGCCATGTGACAGCTAACTCTGCACTCAGTTTGTAGAGAACCCCACGACCCTGAGCTGAAAACAGCTTCAGTATGCACACTGTTCTGAAACACCCACCAAGGGCAGATGAAGCAGCGCTGTCCATAAAACCTTCTGTGATGATGGGAGGTGTTCTCTATCTGCGCTGTCCCAAATGGTAGCCACCGGCCCCATGTCCTATTGAGCATCTGAGCTCATGTTTCATTTTAACTAACTTAAATACATACGGTCACATGTGGCTAGTGAGAACCAAAAGTGACAGAAAAGTTCTACAGGATTCAAAGGAGGAAGGAGAAAGGAGCCACCAGCCAGGCCCCCAGGGACCTCTAGGGCCCCAAGGTAGCCAGGCCTCTACTCAGGGCTCTGCTAGAGCTGCTGCTGTTCGGGAGATGGCCACATGGTGGCGATATGAGTCACAGTTTGAGCAGGCTTGTGGGGTTTGTCCGCAGGACGAAGGGACATTGCACTCCAGCTCCTGCGCTTTAGGGGATTCCAGGGTACCCTGAAGATACCCAAACCCCAAGGCGGGCCTTATTCAGCTCCAAAGACCATGGCAAGAAGGCCCATAGATCTAAGCGCTCCTGCCTCTATCTCCCAGAACCCAAGGCAGGTTCCACTGAAGGGATAAGAGGATTCAGGGCCTCGGGCTCAAGAGGATGCTTTAGTTCCCACAGTTTCCCGCCCAGCTCAGTGCACCTTACTCCACCTTGCTCCTTCTCTCTCCCTTCTTCCGCTCTCGCTGGAGAGAGGGTCCTCCCAGGCTCTCACACCTCCCTGGCATGCACCCACCAGCAGAGCAGAAGAGGGCCACAGCTCCTAAGTCTAGTCCCCTCAGAGCTTCCACTGCCCCTTGTCCCGCTGCACAGAAGAGCCCGGTCTCCCCCCCCCCGCCCCCGTCTCCTGTACAGGCTGGGCAAGAAGGCTCACAGGTGTGGAAGCCCCTGCCCTGCCCCATAGGGCACCCAGGGGGATTTAACACAGACCCGCTCCCAGTCTCAGGACGGAGCTTTGGGAACAAACACGACTGTGTTCAGGGAGCTGCTGGCTCCCAGAGGCACAGACAGGAGCAGAAGGTGGCCCCAGGCCCACCCCAGACTCCACCACAGACAAGCCCCCGGGTTGTCTGAGGCTTCTGGGAACAGCAGAGAGGGCTCTCCGCATTCATGGATCTCAAAAGCCCAGCCCAGCCCACCCGTGGTGGCCCCTAGCAGTGACCCCACCACAGGGAAACAGAGCCAGTCCCAGGGCCCCAGGAGGTCTCATGATCAGCTCAGTGACCACTTCTCAGAGCCGCCTCTGAGACAACCACAACCGATGGCTACAAAACTACAAACCATTGCCCCAGGCAAGAACGCTTATCAGGGGAGTCTGGAGGAAGGAGCAATGAGAGCTGAACACACCCGGCTGGGCTCCCTGATGCTTCCAGCCCTGCTAACAGTGACACCTACCTTTTCGCTCCATGCCCACAGTCCGACTCCAAGGAAGACAACTCCAGCCAGCTAAGCGGGGGGGGGGGGGGGGGGAAGTGGGCAAGGAGGGAGAGAGGGAAAGAGTTAGTTCAAAAACCAGGACCACGAACAGGCTCTGAGGAGCATCCGCACGACTAGTCAAGGGACGTTCCTGGCTCACGTCCATGGAGGCCGACCAGGGGCAAGGCAGGCCCTCGGTCCCTGCAGATGACACGCACTCCGCCCCAGAGCAAAGGGATGGCCAGGCGTTTGGGATAACTTACACCTACCTTCCTAACATCTGGCTAAACTCCTTCTACCCCAATGGTCCCCCACGCTCCAAAGAGCAGAAAGCAAGATCTCCGAGCAGAGTCTGCCCCCGACACTGGAGTCAGAGACATCATGACAGCCCTGCCCTGTTTCTTCCACATTCCCAAAGCCCCTGAAATCTCTTCAGTGCAAGATTCGGTGTAAGGAAGACATGACCCCCTGTGACAGCCCCCCCGGTACACTCATGGGCTCCCAGGGCCAGAGAGCCTCTCTCCAGAGCCCTGGGCACCGCCACGGGGACACAGAGCCCGTGGCACCAGGGGTACACATGTGCTTCGCGTTACTAGTTACTGGGTTATTCATTACAGAATTAAAATAAGCCTGTGCAAAACAACACACTCACCCCAGAAAAGGAGCACCCCCCACCTCACTGGGACCAGGCTGACTCACCTGTACCATAATGGGAAGCCCCCCACCAACACAAGTTTCTAAACCAGACACGATTTCTTCCGTATAAAACAAAATACCTGTCTCTGCAGATGAAGCTGCCTATTTTTCTGTGTAAGTTCTTTACACCATGCTGGCATCTGCCTGCCTTTCGTCAGCCCCTCCTGCTAAATAATGGGGCTAGGTTTGCCTAGAACTCACCTCTCCAAGGCATATGCTCACACTTTAAGACCTCCTTGCCTCCTTTGTTCACTACTGGACCTTTAAAGAAAGCCCCGATCCTCACCCCGGGAGATCACACCCTCTTTTGAATCACAGACCACTTTCAGAGAATGCTTACGTGCCCAATATTTGGGATGGGATTTCAGAGGGTTCGCAGACCCCTGATCACTGGCTCCCACAGAAGCCCTGCCTGCACCTGATCTGTCCATTTCACAAAGGAGAACACGAGCCCAAGAGGGCCAAGATCAAAACACCCAGCAGTGGAGGCGAAGGGCCTAGATCCCAAGTCATTCAGCAAATACCGCCTGAGGCCCTCCTAAGCACCAAGCCCCCTCTCCAGCACTGGGGTTGGCACAGAGGACGCAGGCAAAGCCCCCGATGCTTTTGGACTTTCAACTTCAGGGAATGACACGAGGTCCTGTACATGCCATGCTGGTTTCTCAACTCCTCAAGCCTCCTGCTGAATTAACTCGTGGCTGAAGGCCTTGGTTCTTCTTGATGGGGTATACGAGCACTTCCTTTCCCTCCCCAAGCATCTGACACTGCACGGCAGGCAAGCCCGAAGGTGACCCATCACTGCCCACTGAATCCAGCAGGCTTCCCGCCCTGCCATTCCTCAAGGTCTCCAGTGACTTAGCCTCCCGCCAGAGCTGGAGGTCAAGTCTTCTTTCTGTTTATCTGACCTGACCAAACACAGCTGGTCATTCCCTCCTGCACTGGTCTGGTCAGCTCTGGGGACACGAAGCACTGGTCACTCTTCAGCCTCTCCTGCTGACTCCCCTTCCTCCAGGCACCTCTATGCACTGGTGAGCCTCACTGCTCTGTTCGGGACCCCTCCCCGTCCCCCGAGTTCCCTAGATGAGACCATAATCACAGGGCTTGGAAGACCTTCTCTACACAGCTGACCCACACACCCGAATCTCTGCACCTAATGTCCATGTGACGTGCACGGAACCTAGCTGACAACACTGCAGTCTTCGCATGTCCCAGATGGGGCCCTGCTCTCCCAGCCCCAACCCGCCCCTGCCAACTCTTGTCCTTATTAGATGGCACCACGGCCGCCTCACTCGGTTGTTTAGATCAGAAAACCTACACCTCATGCCCTCCAAATGCGTTCAGAGCAAATGGGGGCCGAGCAAAAGCCCAGCCTGGCTCACGTCCATGGTCAAGCCCTACACAGAGGCTTCAGGATCAGAACAGGAGGATGTCCTAGAGGCTGTCCTTCCCTGTGCCTCCCTGTGTCCCCAAGAGCACTGCAGCAACTGCCTTACCTATTCCCATGACAGCCTCCCTCCCACCTGGCACCATGGTGGACGGTGAGAGAAACCTGAGAAAAATCTGCCCATCCAGGACCCCCAGCTGAGTCCCGGCCAGCTCCCTCCTACCGCAGCCCAGATTCCCTTCTCTCCCAACGACTGGGCACTAAGAAAAGGGCTCGTGGTTTTTTCCACTCTGTTTTAAAGGAAGAACTAACATGAACTAGCACCAAAAAGACAGGAACCGGCAAGGTGGGGGAGGAGGTTACATGTCAGATCATGGCTTCAATGAACACTGGCCCAAGGCAGGAACTTTGGGGACCAATTCCAGAGATGAGAAGACTGAGGGAGGACCAGACAGGGGAAGTGGCCTGTCTGGGAGCTCACTCAACAGCCCTGTGAATGAGCCAGGCCAGGACACGCACCAGCTTCACCCAGCTCCCCGTGGGGCCCCTTCCCTGGATCTCTTTGGGGCAGATGGTCTGTGGGGCTGGGCTGTTGTCCCTGGCGGCCAACCATCTGGGAGCGACAGTTCAGCTGGGTGCTTTCCAGCCTCAGAGTAACCTCCTTTGTCTCTCTTTTACGACCTGAATAAATCCCCTCCCAAAGGATAGGGCGGACTGCCGCTAAGCCCAAAGGGAGGCTGGCCTTGGGCCATCAGGTCTGCCGTCCACTGTGGTCACCATGGCAGGTGGTACCACTCTTTCCTGGGTGCCAAGCCCAGCATTCAACACTTCTCATGCTCAAAGGGCCCCTCTCAAACCCCATCACAGGTGTGTGGTACTATTACCCCCTTTATCAAACAGGAAAGCTCAGAGGTACAATGACTTGGTTTTGTGCCCAAAGGCACACAGCGAGCCAGTGGCAGAGTTCAAACCTAACTGGGTGTCTCCGACCCTCCTGACAGCACTTTATCCCACCGCCCACAGGGGCCAGGAAGACAAGTAGCAGTCGGAGTCCCCACCGAGAGGGGCTAGGATGGGCACCTGTGGCATGGGAGTTCCGCAGAAGGGGCTTACGGGCTGTGTGACTCTGAGCCCACAACCCATATCCGCAGGTGGTGAGGGTCACTCTGTGTCCCACTCTGTGGCCAGGAAGTAGGGCTTCCCTGGGTGTCACTGTAAACATTACTGACCTCTCCCCACAAGGCAAAGGCCCCTTATTCTGGGGCTGCTTTGGGCTAGAAGCCCCACGGAATCCACTCACCATGTGAGCAAGCCTGTGGCACTGCACCCAACAGTTCAAGCAACAGCAGAAGTGCAGACACCTGTCCAGGCCCTGCCGGACACCTGCCGGACGGGGAGGGTTCCAACACCAAGCAATTTAAAAGCATCCTGTCATCACTCACAGTTTAATGGCCACGGCCTCTTGCAAGACTGCATTTCGGTGTATGTAAAAGGCCTTGGGCAATTCTTGTAGGCCTCAGAGGCCTTCCAGCAGGGAGCTCAAGGCAAACCACCAACAGCAACGCAACCCTCTCAGCTCTGGCCCCCTGGCCTCTAGTTCTTGTAAATCCCCTGGTTGCCAGAGGCTGACATTCACAGGGCTGCCTATGGGAGTCCCAGAGAAAGGACCAGAAGGAGATCCAAGAGTAAGCCAGACTCAAGGCCAGAGTAGTGCTGAACACACAGCACAAGTCGGCTGGACCTGGTTCCCGTCTCTACTTTGCACCTTCCCGGCGACTGGACTTTGTGTCAAGCCCAGGAACTCCTCTGTGCCTATGATTTCCTCTGCAAAACAGAGACGACCTTTCCTGGGTCATAGGAGGGTTGCAGGGATTGGAGGAAGTGTATCACAAGTGATATGCTTACCCCAGGGCATGGAGCTGGTCCAGGGGAGCCCTGCCCTCCTGCAAGGGCGGGGAGGGGAGCAAAGCAGAGACATCAAGGGGCCTTCCAGATGCCATCAGCATTTGCTGACTCTCTGCGCCGTACCCCCCAGTAACCCAGCCCTAGCCTTTGTTCTAAGACAGCAACTCTATACCCAACCTGACCCTGAGAGCCCAGGGGGCTGAGAGTGAGTCTCAAGACTTCTCTCGAGGCCAGGAAACCTCGCCCTTCAAGACTGTAGCCACTCTGAGCCCTATAGAGTCCAGGGAAGGCCACTTTCAAACAGTCCCACATTCAAAGAGTAAAAACTAAGCCACTTCTTGGTGGGAGTCTGGAAGGTCGGAGCCGGAAGGGACACTGGAGCCCAGCTTCCTCATTAGTGGGGAGCGGAGCCCAGGCCGGGTGGTGCCTCAGATGGGGTCACACAGCTATCACACACCAGCTTTCCTCCTGCCGGAAGGGTGGCTCTGAGAATAAGAAGTGTGTGTGCCCTTTCCAGCACAGCCAGCAAACAGATGCTAGGGGCCCTGTTGAGGAGGGGTAAGACTACCCAGAGGGCTCTGGGGGCAGTTTCCACAGATGTCTCTGAGTTTCCAGATAACAGACAGCCCACCCCCACCAAGCCCCGCCCAGGAATGACTGTGTCAAGGCCTTCGAGAGGAAGGAAGGAGAAGGGCAGAGTCATCTGAGGGATGTTAGAAGCAGCCCTCCAGGCAAGGGAGAGAAGGAACCCCAACTGAGCCTCAGCCCCACCTTCACCCCAGTCTCCACAGTTGCCGGCACAGTTCAGTGAGGAACAGTGGGGCAAAACCGAAATACGAAGCCAGCATTGACATTTCTGTAGAGGACCAGACAGTAAACATTTTCAGCTTTGTGCTGATGTCTGTTTCAAGCACTCAACTCTGCTTTTATAGCAGAAAAGCAGCCACAGATAACATGTTAACGAATGGGCAGGGCTGTGTTCCAATAAAACTGTACATGCAAAACCTGGCCAAGAGCCAGCCAGGCCTGTGAGCCACAGTCTGAT